TCGAGATGGTTTGGGGTGAGCTGGACCGCAGAGTGAAGGCAAAGGGGCCAACAAGTGCTAAACACCTCTGGGAACTCCTTCAAGACTGTTGGAAAACCATTTCAGGTGACTACCTCTTGAAGCTCATGGAGAGAATGCCAAGAGTGTGCAAAGCAGTAATCAGAGCAAAGGGTGGCTATTTTGAAGAAACTAGAATATAAAACATGTTTTCAGTTATTTCACCTTTTTTTGTTAAGTACATAACTCCACATGTGTTCATTCATAGTTTTGATGCCTTCAGTGAGAATCTACAATGTAAATAGTCATGAAAATAAAGAAAACGCATTGAATGAGAAGGTGTGTCCAAACTTTTGGCCTGTACTGTATATACACACATATCTTCCCACCAAAACTGGCATATTAAATTGATATTAAAACACTTTAAAATGTACACCTCTGTCGGGATCCTTCGGGAAACGGTGGAAGGCCAGGTGCGGAGTGTTCCACCGATAGTTGTTGCATTTAATTGCACTACACTGTTTTCTTTTACTTTTTTTCTCCTCTCTCCTTGGCATCTTGCATGTTGTCTGGGCGCAACAGTCCAAGCTCAACGGTCCAAAATGGTGTTAGCGTCCTTAGTGGCTGTTGGCAGAAATTCAACGGAGCTTCGCCTCTTGGTATCCATGCTCTTTGGCCTTAGTATATATAAACGGAAGTCGGAAACGGAAATTCGCCTCCTCCGCCCAAATCAAACCAGAATGCCAAAAAATCGGGGGTCTGCCCCCAGAGGCTGTATCGCTGCCTGCCGGAAGTCAGACGCCAAATACAGCGGATGGCTTGCAAGAATGAGACCATCCTAACTGAGACCAAAACCAGAGAATATCGAGACCAAGACAAGACCATGACCTTGAGGGCTTGACACCAAGTCAAAACCAAGACCAAGGTGAGCCAGAACAGACCAGTGTGAGTCCCATGCTGTGTGACACCACCCCCAAAACACCCACAGAAAACAAATGAAGATTTCTCTACATTCACCTCTTTTATTGCCATACTGTATATATGTATATGTGTACCATGAGAAATGTCTTGATAAAATAATCAAAAGGCATTGCAGAGGTGAATGTTATTTATGGGAATTTTCCATTGTTTTCCACGAGCAAGCGAAAATACAAACAAAAACACTAAGGAGCTAAATCAACATAACCATCTTTCTTCAGTACTCCTTTTTTTGTAGCCCACAAGCAACTAAGTGAAATCCCCAGTGTTGTGGTCTTGATAAGTCTTGAAATAAAATCCTGACTCCTCTTGTTTAAGACTGAGATAAGACCGAGTTAAAATGCAGCTGATTCTGAGACATGGCTGAGACCTTTATGAAGTGGTCTTGAGACTTATCTCGAGTACTACAACACTGCCTCCAGATTCCCCAGATCCAAATCTGATTGAGCATCCATGGGACGTGCTGGTACTTCAGAGGTACCCCTAATCCACAGTGGGGCCTCCCTGGATCGGACTTGTCTCTGACATGTCAAGACATGAACACATGACCTCTGGAGGGTGTCCTGTGGTGTCTGGTTCCGGGGTGCTGGCTTCGGATCATTTGAGACCTGTCAGTTTTGAGGTGGTAACAGGACATCCCAAGATGCTCAATCAGATTGGGGTGTGGGAGATTTGGAGGCCAGGTTGACATCTTGAGCTTTTTGTCACATTCCTCAGGCCATTCCTGAGCAGCTTTAGTAGTGTTGTATGGCTTATTTTTCTGCTGTGGGGCCACTGCCATCAGGGAGTATTGTTGCTGTGAGGAAGGAAGGGTTACTTAGCCCACAGCAGTGATTGGGTGGATGGAGGGCGTCAAGTGGCATCCACATGAATGCCATGACCAAAGGTCTCCCAGCAGAATAGTGCATTGTAACACAATGATCAGTGTTACTCACTTCACCCACCACTAGTTTTAACGTTTTGGCTGATTGGTGAATACTATATACTAATCATCGTTTTCGGGCTCAGATTTAAAAAAAAAAATCGTCCACATGAGTGGTGTGATAAAAAAACATGATATCCACAGGAAACCGCAAAATCCACTACCAAGTGATGTAATACGCATACCAAAGCAACCTAATTCACAAAAACAGCACGACCTAATTCAACACCAGAGGCGCCTGAACGACCAACTACACTAACACGAAAGCAATAACGGGCCTGCCAATGGAGGTCCGACCCAGCCGGATCCAGAATCTCCTTTGGCAGGCCCGTCGCTGCTTTCATGGTAGTGTAGTTGGGGTAGCTAGCAACAGGAGCATCCTCCTTCGTTGGTCGTTAGGTTTAGCAGCTGGATATGCCATCCAAAGAGAGCAGATAGCACGCTCACAAATAAAGTTGGCACCAGCATGTTTGTTTGGTCTGCCATTTTATTCACTGTCGCTCTGACGTCAAACAATGGAGACAGGTAATAAAGTACTGCGGTTATTCTATTTACACGCAACCGCTGGCACCGGAGTCTTCCAAAAACTTCACCCTGGACTCTGGTTTCAAAGAGGCACAGTTTCGGGGGCCCAAAAGTGTGGTTGCGTGTGGCCAAACAGCCAAATCGCATAGAATAATACACGGTTGGAGAAGTACACGAGTCTGTGTGGACTAGGCCTTAGTCTTCTGTTACTATTACTATTAATGCTAAAATTTCAATCAGCAGAGACAGAAGAATTAAGTGAAAATAGTATTTAATACAGAATATGAGTGTACAGATTAACAGATGATTTGTGCTGATTAAGATTTAGCAGAAATCTTGGACACCTGAGGGAGGTATTTTGTGATTGAGGGACATCTGAGCGGCAGCAGGATAAATCCCCCCATGGAGTCCAGAAACTGGTGGTGGTGGTGGCTGCCGACTCTGAGGCTGATGGATGATGAGGCATATGAGGCTGATGAATCCGTGAAGACTGGATGGTGATGGGGAGGTGGACGGCACCGATGACTCAATTGACCTACCTAGACAATGACAACTAGAGATAGTGAGTAAGTGTTCGTGTGAGGGGTGAATGGCAGGGTGACAAAGAAACTTAAAGCCTGAGCATGAATAGTAATGTCTTCCTGACTGAACTCTCGCTAGAGCTTCATATGTGCAGCAATGCACGTTAATCGAACTGCTACTTTTGAATGCGACAGACGGTTAAACTTCCCAAATAGACATCAAACCTTTTTAATAAAATTTCTTGCTTTGTTTTCTTACGCTGTGAGCAGCTCCTCCATTTTCTTTGTGCACTGCATTGAGGGTGAGTAGTGTGCACCAACAGCACACTCAAAAATTGACTTCATTAAGCCTCCTTTCCAGGGTAAACAGGCTACCAACTCAAAACCTCTGTATGAAATATAGATTTCGGGGAAGCTGACTGAAGTTTGACTAAATTTGGAAGAATTGATCCTGAAAGTGTTGTTGCACACAACATTCAGTCATAAAACTGCAAAACAGACAGGAAACATAACCTCAGCAGACCCCTGCCCCTCTTTTCTCTAGTTTGAGTATTGCAAAATTTGCACATCAGTTTGTTTGATAAGTAAACACAAAGGCTGACTGGAAATGCTTTCATTCAGGGTCAACATTCGGTTCAGATGCCGTTGCTCAGCAGGGGTGGGGAGAAAGGCTCGAAAACAATTGGTCAGAGATGTGGATATAAGACCTACCTGAGACAGACGAAGAGGCATCAGAGAAGATGAAGACTCTGTGTGTTGCTGTTGTTTTGCTGAGTCTCACCTCGGTGGGCCAGCCTGCGACGCTGGCCTGTGAGAAGCTGCTGAAGTCAGACGACCGATCTCCAAATGTAAGTGTCCCACCACATTTGTAACTAATTTTGTGTTTTTGGGACAACATCATCAAACAAATCTTAACTTATTGAATTCATTGTGCATTTGTTTCTTTGTCTTGAAATGTGTTGTGGGATAAATGATTCACATAAAAGGTTTCAGATTATTACCAAATATTAACAAAATCAGACTCCCTTCATTGTTTTTTCAGTTGACTGGGAGGTGGTACTTCATAGCCGTGTCCACGGACTCCTGTATGGTAACAACATTACTGAATGCAGTTTTTTGGCCAAGTCTTGCAGTAGACATCACCTCTAAGGACACGCCCAAACTCTTTGATGCCAAGTTTTCAATTAAGATGTGAGCAATCTTTTGTCTTGTAACGGTTGTTAATTTGTTGTCATGAAGCTTTAAAGGTAAAATGCATCACACGTCACCATGTCCTGCACAGTTGTTCTTTCAGCTGTTAAATCTTTAATAAATCCTTTGCAGGTATGGATACTGTGAGAGTGAATCAGACCAGTTTTGGTATGACAACAACACCCTGTTAGATGTCGACAGCAACAGTAAGAGTTTTGTTTAATGTGTGCACTGGTGCTTCTTCTGATCACTATTTTAAACTTTTACACCACAGACTACTGACTCATTCTGTGTTATTACCATTGAAAACAAAGTATTTGAAGTTCTATATAATATTAGTAATAATATTAATAACAGAAAATATAAGAAAAGATGGAAAATAGATAAAAGAAATTATAAATGGTATATAATCTACCGTAGGCCTTGAAATTATGTGTAGGTCAGTGAAATGTTTTTGTTATATTTTTCTGTCTTGTTATATTCTTTAACATAATTTCTTTACTGTTTTAATGATGATATTTGTATTTTTAACATTTTTATAGAGATACTGTTTAAATGTCACTGTGAAATTGTGCTATTACAATCCAACAGATCTTCCAACCGGTAAACCAGATCAGCTGGTGCAGACCAGCTGTTCTGACTGCATCATTATAAAGACCGAGGACGACCAGATCCTGAGTGCTTTCTTGCTTTTAAGTAAGAGACTGTTCATTACTTATCAGAGGAAGGGGTGGCTGGGGTACTACTACTTCTGTGTTATTTTTTTTCATTAATTTTGACCCTTCCCAAAGCTGCAATTATTTTTTCCCTTTAGCCTCCTTGAGTGACTGGGAGAAAATGCATGACCCTCCCTCCACCATAGATTAGGTTTTTTTTTTAATTTTTTTTTTATAAAATATACCCTTTAATATTTTAAAGTTAAAAGTTTAAGATGAAATCCTGGAGTTGAGAAAAGCTTTGGTTTTTCACTGTTGTCGTGCATGCTGCTGGTTAGTTCATGCAAATGGTTTATTTTTGGCTCACATTTTAAATAAGTGATTTTGATGAAATATCACTATTTTAGCTCAGATATATGTTTTTTTGTGTTCATTGCACATGATGTGGCCAAGGACTGTCTGAAATTTTAAAATACAATGATAATCTCCAGTTTTACAGTTTCTGGCTATGATGAATGCTCTAATTTTAGTGATTTTTCAGGAAAACAGACAAGTTTTCTTTAAAAATCTGCAGTGAAATAAATACAAAATACAACCATTAAAATTTGTATGCCCCTCCCCAAAGCCAAAATAAATACATAAGTCCCTCTCTAGTGCTTAAAACACTCCCCCCTTTTTGTACCCCCGACAGAATGTAATCACAAGGCTTGCATCTCTAATGGGTCTCCTCTTTCACAGGTAGGAGAAAGACTGTCACTACTGATGAGCTGAAGGAGTTTGAGGCACAGGTCAAGTGTATGGGCTGGTTCAAACCGCAGGTCTTAAACACAGATCACGGTGAGACTTGAGATGTCTTTGTAGTCAATTTATGAAAACAAAGGGAGTGCAGTGGCATTATACCATGATAGTGATACCAGCTATTTTATTCTCTGCCATTTATATATAGTGTGCAATGCACAGCATTGTAACACTTATTGTGGGTTTGCCATCAAAGGGGAACACCGTCTACATTTAGAACTCCAGTGTGTTATTTTCAGGAGAGTTTGATCAGTAGTTGTGAACATGAGCTACTGTCTCTCAAAGGAACCAGAAACCAGAGGAGTCTCAAACTTGTGATGTCATAGAGCAGTGGTTCTGAAAATGGCGCTTGGCAGCGTCAGGGGGAAACGCGGTGGGACACAAGCGAACGTTAAAGCCACAGTATGTAGGAATTTCTCCCATCTAACGTTCAAATAATATATTGCATTCAAACGGATAGCGTGTTTCAAACGCGTATTGCAACAACGGTAGCTGCTGTGTACCAAAAAGCTATGCTAACATTGATGAAACCATGTCATCCAATACTTCACGGAATATTCATTCAGGCTCCTACACAGACACACGCGACGCAAGTTGACAAACCCCCTCCTCACCATGCTGGCTGTGTTTACAATGTAGGACTGTTGGGGCGGGTGTAAATCGAAACAAAGCAATCACGTCTTGCCGTTTGACAACTGAGAAGTGGCTCAACCTCACACACCTCATCCCTCTTCTCGCATCACTGTGCCGCTGACAGCTGTTAGCTGCTTTTAGCAGCGCTGCTACTACCCCGGCACAACTGCAGCATAATAAAGTCCCACTCCTTGAGCATAAAGCAGGATCATGCATAAGCATCACGGGAGACGGTATCCCCGTCACCAAGAAAGCGCAAAAGGGAATCAAAAAGGCAATGTGACCGCTGAATTCAAAAAACGAGGGTCAACATCGGGGCAGCCTTTCCCAGGTGGAGAGAGCTGCTGAAGGAGAAAGGTAATGCAATCACAGGCCAGCGCCGCTGTTAGCTGTTTGCCGCTGTTAGCTGTTAGCCGCTGTTAGCTGTTAATGGCGCTGCTAACAGTGGCTAACAGTGACAAGTGGCTCCTTTTACGAGTATAAGTCAGATTATTGGTGGAGGTAATAATACACCAATGATGACATATTTATGAATGCAGACATCGATTTTTGCCAATAGACAATTGAAAATGTTACACAATGTCCCTTTAAGGCAACAAAAGTCTGAGTAGGGCAGGTGGGAGGGGTGGTGGATGGGTCCACCAAACACCAACTTTCACCTTGGACAGCAGTGTTCGCATCCCATAGTATTATAAAGCCAAACCCTGTTCTTTTTTCCTAAACCCCACCACGTGCGTCGGTTGTTGTGTTTTACCAACGTAGTGCGTTTATTTTGCAACTGACACTGCATCCCAGAACGTCAACAACCAACGCACCCAGGGTACCTTGTACGTCGTATGTAGATGTGGAAAGTCCACGACCAAACGTCGAAATGTGACGAGGTTGGATTGAGAGTGTGTTGTCTACACACAAATGAGCTTCATTGTATTGTTCTCAGTTCTGAAAATAAACCCAGATACTCTGAACATTCCCCTGGGTGCTCTCAGTGTCACCTGGGACATCTTTCCCGATTTATTGTCAATGGAGCAGTTCCAGAGTTTACTTGATGACATCACACGTTTAGTTTTAGCACTCTAGTTTTTGGATTTGGGAGAGAGTTGTTCATGTTCACACATTTTTGGACATCTTAGCAATCAATAACATGATTGAAATTTATGGGCATAGTTCCCCTTTAGTTGTCACATACATCAGAGAATTAGATATAAAATGGTGTTATTTACACTGTCAGTGCTGTTATTGCTCTAATGTTCTTCTTTGGTCCCCACACAGAGTACCAAAACTGCTCGTCACTTGAGACTGCTGAAAATGATTCTTCAAGATTATCAAACATGATTTATGAAAGACTGAAAACCACGTACACCGAGCCCCTCCAGTGTCTTGCCGAAACCCTTATGTATTACCCCAAAACTGCCTATGAGTGGGCTCAAGAAAGTTGGGCCTCTCTTTGGTAAATGTGCTGGTGCACAGCTATGATAAAAATTCACTCACACGATCATGTTTTTGTGAAATGGTGCAACCCTACTCAAGATGTTGACTTGCTTGATGGGGAACTGGTTACTGATTGATTTACTGTTTTAAAAGATGAAGACTCTCTAACCCAATAAGACCCCCTTTGTCTACATTCAGGTTTTAAGCGGTGATCTGTAGTGCTTTTCGACAACATGTTCCCTCTTTCAGACAGTTCAGTCACCATTAATAATGACTGATTTTTCCTCATCAAAAAAATAAATGATTGGTGAAATGTAACTTTTGCAATGTGGACTGACTTGTTTAGAGAGACATTGATTTTGGAGCAAAGTCGAATGTGGAGCAACAGGTATTATGCACCTCCTGAGTCAGCATTTAAACTGTTTACTGCTGCAGCATTGCAGCAACTCAGTCATTAAGTCTTTCCAGGTTTGGTAAAAAGACTAATGTTTTGCTGATTCACATTATATGGGATATGTCCATATTTTTACCCGTTAATGTGGTGATTTGCATTTGTGCTAAATGGTTTTGGATTTGTGTTTAATATGTGTTTCATGATTAATCAAAGCTGAAGCTAACGCAGGGGTCATGTAAAGCAACCACATAAACAACATCTGTGGCATGTGTTGGAGGGATTGTTCAATGCATGGCAGAGTGTTCGTGTCATTTTACTATCATTATTAATCCAAAACTGATTGGTTAGCAGATCTAGACTTCTTAAACTGGTGTAACCCATAATATTAATAATGTCTGCACACTAATTAGCTGTTCATTATTTATTTATTACTTTTATAATGAGTTCCATTTTGTTCTTTGCAGCAAGGTTTGTTGGATTTATTTACAATGACAATAAAAGGAATTTAATTTAATTTTGGTTTAATTTGATTTAATTTAATTTAATTCAATTCATAGTTCAATGGTGTTCATTATGTCTTTAGTTTATGATAATTACTTTAGTTGTTCTGTTAACATGTCTGAGATAAAAGAAAGAACAAAAAAGAACAACTAAAGTCATTATCAATTTAATTCAATTCAATTCAATTCAATTCAATCCTAAAATGTACAGGAAAGCAGTAAGAAGACACAGTCTGGACTAACTGCAGATGACGTAGTGACAACAATAGCCGAGAGGTAATATAAGCATGGATAACTCTCAAGATCTTGTGGCGGCAGATAGGCCTTTACCTTGGCTAAAACTCTTAACTGGAAAAAGCTAGTTTTGACAACTGAACAAATTTGTTAACCAAATTTAAAAGAGCTGTCAAAAATCACACCAAAATTTTTAACAAATGGTCAACTGTGAAAAACTAAAGGGCCAAGAAAACCAGCAGAGTCAACCAATAGGTTTGGTTGTCCAAATATAACAATCTCTGTCTCACAGCACAAACACCGCCTTCATATCACCCTTGAATTGGATTGACACCACTATGACACAACAAAAAATGATTGTGATAAGATTTGTGGTACTGGGTTGTATTAGATTTAGCTAAATAGCTACAAAATGAATTTAAATCCCTGTGTGTTCACCGTTCCCCTGCCTTATATGAAATATGGTCTTATAATGCCTGTTGATCCATAATGAAAACAATGTTATAGAGGTGACAAACACAGTGAAATATCTTTTTAATATCTGAATCTACTGTGTGATCTTGCATTAATGTCAAAATGACAGTGTTCAGCACAATCCAAAATCCAGACCAAACTAATAAATAAGCATTATTCTTCTTATTCTGAATCACAAGTGGGTCCATAGCAAAAAAAAAGGAGAGGACACAAGACATAGGAAATATAAACTGCAATTGAAAACAAGGCCGTTCATATTTAAGCTATCTTCCCACTGTTTTCTGAGCCTGGGTGAGTACCAAAAGCAGCTCATCCTCGGGCTGGTTAAAGCCTCTATTATGCTGTTCTCTGACTCATCCAAGCGACACATAACATTGTACATTAGATGTCCTAGAAGTGGCTCACATGTAGGAGCACCAGAGGACACAAACAGTTGACTGGCACTATGCCATCTGGGAACCTGAAGCAGCAACCTCATCCCATCACTGTAAGCCACCGTTAGCTACCGCATACTGCTTTTCCTGTACGCTGTAAACGACTGTCATGTAGGTTAACAGTGAAATACTGGCAGCAGGGTTGCTAGTAGTTCACTGTTAGTTTCACAGTTCTCCTACTGTTAAACAGTTCACAAGCCTGGTTATCATCAAGCATCCTGATGGCATCGTAAACATCCTGGACCTGACTGTCATTAGAAAGATGCACATTTTCAGCCATGACTACACTGCTTTTAGCACAGTTGAATGAATTAATGATCACGCCACAGCTCAGCTATTCTGTCTGGACCACATGGGCGATCAGTGTTGGAAGGCAAGGAAGTTTTACAGTTATTTATTACTCTGACTTCCTTCCAGGAATCATAATGGTTATTATTTTCAGCTTCCTGCTGAGTGAATCAGCTCTCATGGTGTTCTCGTTTCTTTTAATAAAATGAAATCTTGCATTGGTAAATGATGAAGTCTAATAAAAGGCAATTAATTCCTATTACTTATTTTCAGTGATACTTCATGTCCTGTTAAAAACCTCTGATGCCAGCCTCTGCAACTACTGGATAAGCTCCCCCTTTGCTGGATTCCTGGCCCCAGGTTTGCTGGGAGGTTAATCAAACTTAAACTCAACTCAATTTAGTATTAATGTATGCAAGTTGAAATGACAATGGTCTCACAATTAAGGACCATCTTCAATATTCAGTAATAAGGCTGAACCCAGTTTATGGCTGTTATAATGTGAGTTGATTTTTTGCGTATTTCTTCTGACAAATTTTCTATTTGATTAGATTTTACTTGTGCATATCCCCAAACAAAATTCTAATTAAATCAATACAAAACAGTTGACACAACATAAGAATAGTGCTTGGGTTTCTGGGGTGGAAGGTTAGATTATCTACATTGTATAGTTTGACAGAGTATTCAGATGTTTTACTAAACTAAAAGTAGCAATACTACAGTGTAAAAATACCCTGTTACAAGTAAAACTCCTGCAAGTAAAAATACAAAAGTACTGGCATTAAAATATATTTAAGGTACTGAAAGTACAAGTTCTTACTCCATTTTAAAATATTACATTATATAATTGATGCATATTGTGTAGCCTACTTCACTGATAGGTATAAAGGTGGAGTTTTATGTAGGTTTTGATTACTTTTAGTCTCTATATACAGACTCTACATTCAGTGAATGTAGAGTCTGTAGGCAAACCCCTGAGATCTTGCCTCTGGAAGAAGAGCGGAAGAGCCCTGGTTTCCGGTTGTAGGCTGTTTGTAGTCCGCGTGATATTGATCAATCACGTTTGAGCCGGCTGCAGTTGTTGCCAGGTCAAACAGTCCGTGCAGTGAACTAACGAGGCTGAACATAATTGGCGTCACTGCAAACTCTGAATCCATCGCAATGGTTCAGCATATTTATTTATATATAAACGGAAGTCGGAAACGGAAATTCGCCTCCTCCGCCCAAATCAAACCAGAATGCCAAAAAATCGGGGGTCTGCCCCCAGCCGATGGGTTCCGAGAATGGATTACTTTAGGCTACGCTACAGGATAGCTTAATCCACTGGTTCCTCACCTGGGGGCCCCAACCCTCACTAGGGGTCGCCAAAGCTTCATTGGTGTCTCAAGGCCTTCTTGATGTTAAGGGGTGTTAGAAAACTTCAAGTGAAGGCCTCTATCGTTCAGCATTTTATTCATTTCTGCGAATAAAACTAAATGGAATTGTTATTTTTAAAGGCACATTAAAGACCTGAACACAAGCTACATTTACAGAACCTTCCCTTTCTCGTCCTGCATTAGAAAAGTAAACACTTAAAACAACCAAACAGCTAGTACAACAATGGCCGAGCCAAAGGAAGAGGAAATCACTACATTTCTGGGTTAATAGGTTAGGTTAGGTTTGGGATTTTAGTTTGTTTTACTTAATTAGATGGGTTGTTTTGAGCTCAGGGGGCAGCTTGCTAAAACAGTGGGATTTTTATTTTTGTGCTGTAACAACAAATTGGCTGCTCTACCAAGTTATTGCTCCAAATGGCATATTAGTTATGCATCATCATCCTGCACATACTAAAATCACATCCAAATGTTCCTGAAATTTTTACAGTAAATTGAATTTGTTCTTAAGGGGGGCACCTTTGCCCATCATGCCCTAATGCCCGGTTCAGACAAAAGATTTGTAATAAGACAAGTAGAACCAGAAAACCGTTCTGCAACATTCTAAAAACCTGCCAGTTCACACCAATGCAACTAGATGAGATGGTGTATCATCGCTATACAACCACTCTCTGTACTTACATTGTGATTTTCAGCTTATTTTGTGACTGAATATAATTTGTAGCTTCTTAAAATATGAATGAGGATAGTGATAGTGAGATACTGGCTACAGCTGCATTTGTAGAAGTGATGAAATGGCGGAAAACAGAAAACAAGCATCAGATGGACTGAAGTCATAATAAATACACTACAATAATGTAAATAAAGAGGGCCAATTAATCAGTCAATGAGAATGTGTGTGTGTGTGTGATGGATAAGCACATACAGCAAACAGCAGCAGCAGCGACCCACTGTCTGACACCGACACACTTTAAGGATGGAAACAGAGTGCTCCTGCTGCAGCAAACGAACACACCGTCTGTGGTCATTTTGACTCAGCCAGCAGACTTCACTACAACCTGATTGGCTTTGAAACAGGTGATGTGCTGACCAGCTGAGTTGCAGATGACACCATCAGCCAGATGGAGTTGAGCTCAGACCGGCCAGTTCACACCGCAGCAACTTTTCTCTGCAACGTTCCTGTCATCAAAAATATTTGGTCTGAAATGGGCTTAAGTTTCGTGGGCGGTGTTTGGAAGGCATGTTTTCTTTAAAAAATCTGTGGTATAATAAATACAAATTATACCTGCTGCGCAGCGATGGGTCGGGTCCAGGTATTTTTAGGCAATTCTGAGCAACAAGCAGAAGAATTGGAAGAAATTTAGCAACACAATCTGCTTTTTGCATTAGCTGAGGCTTGAACTCACAACCTCTGAGATTAAGAATCAATTTCTATCTCACTGAGCTAATTAGTCAGTGACAATTCATGTGTAGCTTCACAAACTGACTAAGCCAGACGTGCAGGTTTAGCAGCCATCTATGCATGGAAAAGCAGATTTCAAACCACTGTAAAAAATTCAGTTATCGAAACAAAAATCCACATATAATACACATATTGCATCTAGACAGCATGGAGATGTTG